GAGAAGACTAACATCACTCCCCCCCCCCCACCCCCCCCCCCCCCCCCCCCGCCGCCTTCCAGGTCGCTGTTTAGCCAGATCTCGTTGATCCCCCTGTGGTGCGTACCTGGGCAGTGGCAAAAGTGAGGGGGGGCACCAGCGACCGGACGGCTCACTTTCGCCGACCTTCACGAAGGTGGGGCGAGAGACAGGCAAGCGAGACCTGGACAGGCTGCAGCACACCGGTCTCACGCGCAAGTAGCCAGGCCCACTCCCACCCATACCCATACCCATACCCATACCCGCACCCGCACCCGCACCCGTACCCATACCGTTACCGGCAGACGCGGGAAGGACAAGCATGTCGTGGACAGACAAGGTGAACGCAGGGCACGCGGCCATGGTGGAGGAGGACTACGAGACGGCGGTGGCCATGTACTCGGAAGGTATTGATGCCGCTCGGGATGGAGGCGAGTCGGAGGCTCTGGCGGCGGCTCTGTCGTCGCGGGCGGCGGCCTCGCTCAAGCTGGATGATGCCATGGAGGCGCTACAGGACGCCAACGATGCGCTGGCCATCGATCCGACGATGCACATGGCGTACATGCGCAAGGGCCTGGCGCTGTTTGCCCTCGACGAGTTTGCCTCGGCGCTGGCCGCCTTCCAGGCGGGTGCCGAGATCAAGCCGAACCACAAGCCGTTCAAGACATGGATCCGCAAGTGCAAGGCGGAGCTGGCCAGCGAGGGCGGCAAGCCGGCTGTGGCCACGTCGACACCGGCGGCCGGCGCGGGGTCAACCTCGGCGCCGCCGCCCTCGTCCGAGGCGGTGGCTACCACCGCTGCCGGCGCCGCCGCCGGACAGGCGCCGCCGGCCGAGCAGCCGTTTGTGCCAGCGCCGTCGTCGGTTCGGTTCGACTGGTACCAGAGCGAGGAGTACGTCATGCTCTCGCTCTACGCCAAGGCGACAAGCAAGGCCGAGACCGAGGTCAACTTTTCCGAGCGCAAGGTGCATGTCAAGACGACGCTCAAGGACGGCAGCGCTTACGATCACACCTGGCATCTGACTGACGCCATCGACCCCGAGGCGTCGTCGTTTGTCAATACCCGGATGAAGATCGAGTTCAAGCTGAAGAAGAAGCACCCGCTCAACTGGGGCGAGCTCGAGGGCGAGGCGACAACGCTGCGGCCGTTTGACGACGCGTCGACGGTCAACAAGCACGCGTACCCGTCGTCGTCCAAGAAGCACATCAACTGGGACGCCCTCGAGCACGAGGTGGGCAAGGAGAAGGACGAGGAAGGTGACCCGCTCAACAAGCTCTTCCAGGAGATCTACGCCAACGCCGACGAGGACACCCGCCGCGCCATGAAGAAGTCGTTTGTCGAGTCGGGTGGAACGGTGCTCACCACCCAATGGGCCGATGCCTCCAAGGGCTATGTCGAGGGCACTCCGCCCGAGGGCATGGTCAAGCGCTCGTGGGTTGACGAGGAGCTGGGCAAGCCGACCAAGCCGTCCGACAGCAGCTAGCAATAAACCTGCATGCCACCCTTCTCCCAAGAAGCTAGAACCTTCCCCTCTTCGATGAATCCCCTCTCCTACCTATTGACTCGTCGGCTTCGATGCAGTGTGTGGTTCGGCGCCGGTGACGGCGACGATGACAAAACCGCCGCCAAAGAGCAAAGAGGGCAAACGGGAAGGAGGCGACCGATACGACTCTGTTGCCAAGAAGACCAACATGGACGCCAAGGCCGTCATTACCGAGCTTGGATGCCATCCTGACACTCTCAACAACACCAAGCTTACCCAGCTCATTCTTGAGCTCCATGCTGTGGTATGTGGATGACTATGGGGGAAGGGGAGGGGGAGGGGGGAGGGGAGGGGGTGGGCAGTGTGGATGCCCTGTGCCATGCATTGTCCATGGTGCAATTATCATGGGACTGAGGGGGGGGA